TTATATTTGTATTATACCATTACGTTGCTATTCAATGGTGAATTTATTTAATTTATGACTAGAGACATTATATAATAGAATTGTTTTCCAAGTAAGTTTTATGTGTACTTTTTCTTATTGATTTTAAATGCGTTCATTACTCTTTATTACGTTTTAATAATTATCTGATTTTTTGGAGACCTTTATAACTTATGATTACATGAAAATTTATAATTTATAAATGTGAATTATGTTTTGTAAAAATTAGTTACACTTTATATTCTTTCCTTTGTATTATTTCTGTCTTCCTAAATATTCCAGATTTATTCTTGATTATATAAATTTATAAATGTCGCATAATAAGGATGATACAATGAAAATATTTCAAATTATGATGATATAACCAATTTGTGTTGGTTACTATTGTTAGGAATAAAAGGAGTTTAGTTTAGTAACCGCGATTCATGAAAACGTCCGGTAGCGGCATTGCGAAGTGCGATCGAGGATCGGTAAGGGGAGCAAGAAACCGCAGAAGAAAGGCGACACCGCGTCGAAAACTGGAATACCTGTCAGAAAGCCATGAGTAACACGACGGACACCGTTTGGACGGTAGCAAGAGCGAAATTGACGCGCGACCGAGGATCGGTGACGTAAGATCATCGAATATAGACGTAAATATTGATTTAATCTGAATTTACAGCAGTGGTATAGGCGCGTCTCGAAGAAATCGTCCATCGCCGATACCGTAGCAACTGTGACAGTTATGTGAAAAAATATCAAAAAGATTCTTATTCTATATAAGTGTGACCATTACATTTAAGATAGAATTTAAAAAATTGTTGAAAAATAAAATATGAGGACACTTAAAAAAGTGTTTGGCATTTGATTTTAATGTCTTTTTCATTAAATAGATTGCATTTGTTCTCATTGGAAGATTGTTACAATCTCTGCAGTGCCTGATCATGGATATTTGGAATGATAAAGATATTTATTTATAGCTATCCGTTCCAATCTTTATTCTCAATATTTGCATTATTTTCATTATTAAAACAAATCTTTCATTGCACACTGTTACTGTTTAGCGCAATAGGTTCACTATTTTTCTTCTCATTTCATAAAGAAAGATCCTACGCACCAATGAATTTAAAGTTTTTTGAAATCTTCTCCGTCTTTCTAAAGCTTCTTCATAAATTTGTTTAACAATTCTCACTACTTTGTCGTTTAGTGGTCATTTTCCGCACATAAAGCTATTATGGGCTTGTACGCAATACCGACTACACTTATAGGTTCGTTTTGCAACTTTCCTTGCGCGTTTGTCATATTCTTCACCGCACAATATATCTGATAATTGTTTACAAAATTTGTAAGTTTCGTAAAACATTTACTACTTGTATCAAATATTGGCGACAGTTCAGTATAAATACTGAGCTTGTTCATCATTTTCATTGACAACCAGCAAGAAAACAATTACCAATGTATTTAATCAAAATATCCAAAATTGCGTCAAGAATACATACTCGATCCACCATCAACCCCAAGAAGAAGCTTCGCTTTCTGGTCCCCTAAACGAAAAGGCCTTCAAAAACCGAACAATTACGCATTCGGTATATAGACTTGTTCAATAACCGAAACTAAACCAAAACGGGGGGTTACAGTGAGTGAAAGGTCGTTCATAAAACGAGATACAGGCGGAAAACAATTCGGAAACGGGAGGGTAGAGGAGGAAAGAAAGCAAGAGGGAGAGCTTCTCTTTCGAAGCAGCAGAGAAAGCGCGTAGCAGGAGGAGGAAGAAAAGATACGAAGAAGGTAAAACCGAGGGAAGGGAAAAAGAACACTGTACTCGCATAAGAAAGAGCGAAAGGGAGAAACGCGTACAGTACGTAAAAGAC